TCTGTGCCACCAAACCTCTGCTGCTACTGCAGGGGGAACACCGTGGCTTCTCCCCTTGCCAACCCGGGGCTGGAGTGCGGAGGGGGGTGATGATACCAAAATCGAGCAGCGGTGTTCCCACCCAACACCCTCCCAGCGCTAGTCTCCTGATGGACAGCATCTCAGGGCCTGTCCAAATCTCACTTTTCACCAAACCTCTTCCTGCTCCAGTAGGGAGACAAGAGACTGGCTGTATCTAAGTTCTCATTTGGATAACAGAACACATATCAACCATATGCCTGTCTTACTCTATAAGGTCTAACCTAAAATAAAAGAAAGCCTTCTTTGTAAGAAGAAAAACAAAGAACTAGAAAACTTCAAAAAGCCTGGGGTAAGAAGCAGGAATAAGCCTAAGCAAAAGGCCTTCACAGTGAGGTTTATCACATTTTTTTGTGGCATGAACTCGTGGGCAGTCTGATGGCACCTTCTCGAATAATGTTTTAAATGCACAGGATAACGAAGGAGACCAATTATAGTGAAACAGAATTATCAAAACATCAAAAAAATCCTTGAGATACGGTCACATGTGCTTCTCCATTAACGTACGAAACAAAACTAGCCAGCAGTAGTTTAATTATAAATGCAATTTCTAAGCAGTGATGAGCATAATTTGTCAAGATAGCTGCAACAAATGTAATGAGATATAAAAAAAAATCAATGATTTTTATTGGTGAGAAAGACACAGATGCTGCTAACAGTACTGTGATCTGTTGCCTATATTCACAATTGAAGGCAATGCTAAATACTGAGAGGTGAGTGAAAATTAAAATGTAATTTTATTCTCATCTAAGTTCCCAGAACCCCCTGAATTCTCTCCACCACCCCGATATATAAAGAAGCTGGAGGCACAGCTTTTCTGGCTGGAGCAGAAGCAGAGGGCTGGTGGCAGGACTGTCTGGCCTCTCCCTCACATCGTATTCCTCCCCAAGCCACGCAGCGGAGGTCCCTGTGAGGAACCAGCTCGAGGGCTTCTTGGAAGACAGTTTGCAAACCACTCATAAAGTGATTTATTATTCAGCCTGCTGAGAGTATCCCTGCAAGAGCATGCCTGTGCCTATTTTCCTAACCTCCCAGCCATATCTATACACAGTTTATGAAGTCCCTGGCTCACGTCCTTCTTATCTTGCTTTATTTATTTTTTATTTGTTTCTTTTATTCTCTTATTTTAATGTTTTATTTTGTTACAGCCTAACAGTTCTTAGCAGGCTTTGCTCTCTTATTTCTTAGCTTTCACATTTTGTTTATTTTACTTCAATTTAGCCTTTTTACTGTTGTAATCACTTTTACTCTTGGTTTGTTGTAGAGTATTATCAGGTTTTTAAAAAAAATTTCTTTATTGTCAACCTATATCGTTCCTGGTATTAACTGACTTAATCATCTTTAGTTCACATTATTCTTTTGTTTAAAGCATCATTTCCCTTTCCTTGGTGTTTCCATTTTTTATTTGTAAGTGGCAGGGCAGAAGTTGATCAAAAGGTTGTGGGCCCCCAGAGAGGAGCCCAGAGCCCAAAGAGGCATGGTTGAGCATTTTTTCTCCCTCCTGCTATCTAAATAGCAGCCTCTCTTTAACTCTCCTTAAAACATCCCTGGGACTCTTTAATGTTGATGCCCCCAAACTTTTAAACCTGTGTACTTCAGGAGATTCAAAGGCTGAGAGTCTTTCCTGGAATGAGAGGAGGATAACACACTGGCACGTGCCAGAAGCACCCTGAACTGCTTTCTTGTTCACCTGACTCAACGGCAGGTGCTCAATTAGCTCTCCACTGATCACCCCAGGTTTCCAAACTTCTTTGGCTCTAACAGCCTTTACATAATCACTGGGGAGATCTGATCACTAGAAGATGAGAGGATGCGGCGATTACATTCTGCTTGCAGAGCCTGGTCTCTACAGACTGAGGCAGGGAAAGATTTGTGCCACTGACAGAGGTGGCAGCCAAAGTCCTGTTGTGGGCCTTCCCCTCAAAGACAGTACTGCCTGGGGAATGAGAAATTCTCCAGGCAGGCCAGGAAGAAGCTATTAGTTGCAGGATTAATGAATTGCTCCTATATTTCCGTATCTACACCTGTGATTGTAAGTTTACCCTGAGATATCTAAAGTCATCCCATGTGGAAATGTTAGGCATGGCAACCATGAACGCTGAAGACCTAACTGGTGGAAATCCCAGAGGCCCTCGGTGTCCTCAGGATTAACATTCTTGATTTCAATTAAAGCAGGGAAACCCCAAGAGTTCATAACTTAACCTGCAATTCTGCTGAGGCATTACTATGTTTTGTATATCCTCTAAGGCTGGAAAGCAGGAGTTGATGCTTAGCTGATGCACGAATACTGGCCAGCCTCCATCATCTACACCTGATGCAGCTTTACTGTGCTGTATTTGGTCTCACACACATACAACAGTAATCTCATGAAGTCATAAAAACATTTTTTTCTTAAAAAAAAAAAAAAAATCTCAGAAAAAGAGAGCTAATTTTCTTGGCAATGGGAGGAGAAAGAACGGAAATAAAACAGTGATAAGTCATGGTTAGAACACTAGTTTTGATTAAGCAAAGGATGGGGAATGTCAAATTAAACAACGCCTCAGATTTAAGATGGACAAGAGTCTTCTATATGACCAATATAAAAACAGGGAGATTTTATGAAGCTTTCAATAAGACTCCAGGCATCACAAAACTGGACATGATATGAAGAATTAATCACAGAATGTCTTTCTGTAGGACTTAAAATTTCTCAGTTAAACTTCAATGCGTGAAGACAGGGAGAGTGTCTAACTTATTCACCACTATATGCCCAGCACCTTGGACAAATTCTGGGCACACAATGGGTGCTCAGTAAATACATGCTGAATATTGAATTGCTGAAATCAATTATATGCTACAGAGGTACAAGTAAATTTGGGACATATTTCTTCTAAGACTATAGCACTGTGTCCTACAGGATGGAATTCTAAAAAATAGTTCCTATTTATAAATTGGAACTATTTTCTGCATTTTCCCATGAACAAAGCAAACAAAGGTGCCAGCCCAAATACACCTTTCACCACTGGCAAAAATAACTACCAAAGGAGCCTTACAGTGCCAAAGAACCACTAAAGGAAGGCAGGGCTTGCTCCCATCAAGGAATCCGTTTATGTTTATCTTAATGAAGGGTAGGAGGGCACTTGCAATTATGATTTCAGCACCTAGAATTTAAACTTCAGACACTGTTAAAGACAATCTTAGATTTAAAATAATTTTTTTTTAAGGTTTGGAATCTTATCTACTTGAGATTTGTATTTAAACAGAAAACACCAAAACGGTGGTAGAATCTACCCAATTCAGGAAGAAAAAAAAGAAGCCTTATTACTAGTTTGCAATATCACATGCAAGAAAATTGGATGTTTTCCCTAATATAAAGAAAGCTTTAAAAAAAATATACCCAGATGTAAATAACTGAAAACTCTCTTGATCAAATCAAAGTTAAGGGACTTCCCTAGTGGCGCAGTGGATAAGACTCCACGCTCCCAGGGCAGGGGGCCTGGGTTCGATCCCTGGTCAGGGAACTAGATCCCACATGCATGCCGCAACTAAGAGTTCGCATGCCGCAACTAAGGAGCTCACGTGCACAACTAAGGAGCTGGTGAGTCACAACTAAAGAGCCTGCCTGCAGCAGCTAAGGAGCTGGCAAGCCGCAATTAAGGAGTCCACCAGCCGCAACTAAGGAGCTCACCTGCCGCAACTAAATAAATAAATAAATATTTTTTAAAAAACCAAAGATCGAATGGGAAATTCTAATACAATGTTTACTGGAAACATTTTAAATTTTAGCCTGAGTCTTTTTTTACAGCCTAGGAATTGGAACAAATCATAAATCTGATTTTTAAAATCACAATAATGAATCACAATAAAAAGTTAGTTGTAAAAAAAAAAAGCTAGTTGTAAGGTATCATTTTGACAGGTCAACTATAAGAATAAATCATAATTTATTTGATCAATCCTTTATTTAATGAACTTTAGGTTATTCCAGTTTTTACTGCTATAGACGGTGCTGTACTGAACATACTTCTTTGTACACAGGGGAGAGTGTAGCTGTAGGTCAGTGGGATTGTTCCCAGTTGTGAGAAAGAATGAAGTAAAGGTAGTAATGTAGAAAAAGTGTTAATTGAAAATAGAAGCTGAATAGTACTTAAAGAGTGCATTTCCACCTAAATAAAAAAGGGAGGAAAAAGATAAACAGACATGTATTTTTTTCTATCAGACTAACAAAAATCCAGAAGTGTGAAAATACCTCTGTTGGCCAAGCTGTAGAAACAGGCCTCTTTCATACACTGCTGGTGGGAATGTAAATTGGTAAGACCCCAATGGAAAGCGATTTGGCAACAGCTATTGAAATTAAATATGTATATATATATATATACATGTGTATCATTACATTTACATATGTATTAAATATACATACTTATGAGAACTATGTGCAAAATTACCTATGTAAAAGGTTATTAATTATTGCATTGTGCATCATACAAAAAGAGAGCACAAACAACCTAAAGGCCCTACAATAGGGAACTGGTTTAAATAATATATTCATAGTATGGAATGTGACAGTTATAAAAAATGTCTAATCTCTCTATACACTGATATGGAAAGATCTCCAAAGCACAAAGTTAAAAAGCAAGGAGTTGGGAGCTTCCCTGGTGGCGCAGTGGTTGAGAGTCCGCCTGCCGATGCAGGGGCACGGGTTCGTGCCCCGGTCTGGGAAGATCCCACATGCCGCGGAGCGGCTGGGCCTGTGAGCCATGGCCGCTGAGCCTGCGCGTCCGGAGCCTGTGCTCCGCAACGGGAGAGGCCACAACAGTGAAAGGCCTGCGTACCACAAAAAAAAAAAAAAAGCAAGGAGCTGAACATTATATACAGTACTTACCACCTTTTGTGTTAAAAAAGGATGTGAAACGAGAATATATAGTCAAATGAAATGGAAAACTTACTTGTACAGGTAATACTCTGCATGGTCTATCTCTTCTCGAGATGAAATGTTGTCCACAAACTAAAAGACAAAAAAAGAAACCTTTGGTTGAATATAAATTATGCCATATATTGAGCCTAAGTCACACACTGACCTTAAAAATAAAACACGCATTTTATCAGAACAGTGTTCATGTAGTGTGGCTCCATCCTCCAAACCACTCTGTGTTAATGCCAACAAATAATCTACAACGGCCTCTCTTTTTCTATATGTAGAACAACCTTGGTTAGAAAAACTGTTTAAAAACTAAACGTTAACCTTGCTCAGAACAAGAGAGAGCTCCTCTTAGTGTATTTATAATTAGTCACTGGTATTTCCCATTAACTTTAAACCCTGATATTTTCTCTATGTTCCAAACTCCAAATACATGGGAACACATAGTTGAAAGGATGAAGACTCTAATGGCTGAAAAAACATGGCCCAAGAGAGGAAAAGTCTAAATTTAGAGAACTCAGTCTTATAACCATTTTTCCTATCTGATTTGGTTCTGCTACAGACCAGTCAACCTGTGATTCTTCTACCAGCAAAGTCTCCCCTCGAACCACAAACTCCTTCAGTGTGCTCAACTCTAAACCAGAGAAACAAACAGAAAAGACTCTTCTAAGGAGGAATTCTACTCTAAAGTAAAGACTCAGAGGAAAAAGGGTGAAGTAGGAGATAATGGATGTAGTGAATACAATTAAAACCTCGGGAAGAAGGAGAGAAAAGTAAAGAGGGGGAGACTTAATGGATCTCCCCCTTTTTAGGACTTACGGACTTGATTTAGAAATCTCATTAAGGGGCAGATAAAATATGGTTCCAACACAGGACCTGAAGTTGAGAACTAGCTCTCCTGACTGCATGCTGTGTGGCATAAACAGACGGCACAGCCCCTCTGGAACTTAGTTGCTCCATCTGCATAAACAGAATAAAGGCACCTGCACTGAAGAGGACGAGGCTCCAACGAGAAAGTGTACATGAAAGCTCTTTAAACTCTGAAGCGCTGCCTAAACAAACACCAGGCATTATGGCATACAGAGATTTTATACATCATGTAAGGGATGAACCAGTGGTCTTTCAGTTCCCCTCCAATATGAAAATGATAAGTCTATAAAATTTAGGTTATAACCTAGCTAAACGGTTCCCCTACTAAAAGGAAAATATCAAGGAGCAGAAAGAAAGGACTCAAGACTAAAAAGGATGATGGTTTCTCTACTTTTCTTCTCCTAGATTTAAATCTCTTGAATTTTATGGTGCCATTAATTTCTACAAAGAGTTTTCACATCTAAGATCTCAATTTAGCGTCACATCAGCCCTATGAGGAAAATACTACTGTCCCCATACTGAATATGAGGAAATTGAGAGGGGCCCACTTGCCCAATGTCATAAAGCAAATTCATTAAGACAAGATAAGATCTATTTAAGGGAGGCAACAGAAAAGAACTTCAATGTCACAGAGATCTGGGTTTGAAGCCCAATTTTTCCACCTATGAACTGTGTGAACTTGGGAAAGTCATCAAGCTTTCTGAGTCTTACATGCAAAATGGAGATAACAATGCTTACCTCATACGGCTGCTATGAGAAGAGCAAGATAATGTAAGTTAAGAAACTAGTACAACAGCTGGCATAGAAGGTGATCAGTAATGGTTACTCTCAAGTCCAATTCCTGACTCCTAGCCTAATATTATTCTCCCATCCATTGCTCTGTAGCAGTTTAACATTAACATTAATATCCATTCTTTTATAGACTTTCTCAACTACCAAAATTACTTCCAATATTAACAAGTAAATACTATCACTTTGAAGGATATATCAACTTAAAAAAAAAATCATGATACCAAATCCTGGAAAAATTAAAATAAACCAGATACACAACAGTAATCACTGACACTGGAGTCTGATAAATTTATTACCTTTTATTTTAGTCAAAGAAATTTGCTACTTCATCATAAAATATCTATTAGCAACTACAAAAACATACCATACTCTGGGAAAATATATCCTATGAAAGATAGACTTTATTTACAGAGCCTCATGTATATAAAGTGGCTTTCTTGCCTTCTTTCTCTTTCTTTATATTTAAGTTTTCTTACCCGTGATATTGTTAAAGAACTAACAGGCAGCTTTCTCTCATATGTTTTATCCATTAAAGATGCCAGATCAGCTGTGAAGACAAAGAAGAAAAAAGAACCTTGTTAAATATACATATTTCTTAAGAAAAATCTAACAGATACAACTCCTGCCAGATGGTTGTCAACATTATGAAGTCAGTATTAAAACAGATGCTCTTTCTTGCTCTTTTTTGAAATTATTTTTATATAAATTAAAGAGGATAGAGAAATATTAGTATAATTTTTTAAGTATTTACTTGATTGAAGAAAGGATTATTTTTAAAGTCCTAGCATAGATTTAGCTTTAAAAAAATGGATCAGTAAAATATCTCTGGAAGGAGATACAAGAAAGTGTTATTATTGACAGACTCCAGGCAAAGGAGGGCCAAGATGGTAGGGGGGCAAGAAAAGGAAACTCTTCATTGCTTACACATTTACTCCTTTTGCATTTTGAACCAGGTAAATATATTAGCTGTTCAAAAATGTTTTTAAGTTGGAACTTATTAAATTACTTTTATACATTCCCTGAACGAATCACAGGGGCCAGGCATTCTGCTTATAATTAATGATTTTCAGCCTGAAATATTCCTATTCTGATTCCTTTTACCAGAACATCCATACAAATACTTGGTATTCCTGAGATTACACTGCCATCTCAGAGTCTAAAAAGACCTGGAATAACAGGCAACATACTCTTCAAAATAATTATTTCATACCTTCTCATTGCTTCTAGAACTTAAAATGTGTGTCTTTCCCCTTCTCCGCTCACTCTCACTCTCAGCTCATGATTTTGTGTCTTATCTCCCTAAGCATAAAACAGAAGCAATCATGGGAACTTTATCCTCCTACCATCAGGTCTACCAGGCTACCAGCATCTGTATCCATATACCCTGCCTCCTATTTTTTTTTAAACAAAGGATGAACTTTATTAAAAAAACAAAAAACAAAAATGACAAAAATTTCCTTTGACCTCCTATCGCTCTCCAGCTACTTCTCCTTTGCTCTGCTCCCGTCAGCAGCGAGACGCCACAACAGAGTCATCCCCAATACAACTGTCACCACTTCTTTAGTTCCATCCTCCCTTGAACTGACTCAAATCACATTTTGGTTTCCATCACTCTACTGACACCAAAGACCACCTCTACTTTGTTAAATCCAGTAGTTAATTCTTCATCCTCATCTTACCTCACCTCTCACTAACAATTAATATAGTTGAGCACTCCGTTCTTCATGAAATGCTCTTTTCTCTCTTTCTTGGGTTCCTTTGTAGGATCTCCTCTTCTTGACTTCTTGATGTTGATGTGCCCTAAGTCTGAGGAGCAGACTCTTCACCATCTGCTCGGTCTCTGGGTATCTCATTCTCTCCCTCCCATAGCTTTAATCATCATCTACAGACTACTGACTCCACACATATATGCCTACCCTGACTTCTTGTGACTCCAAACTTGTATTTCCAACTACATGGGTGACATCTCTATGTGGGTGTCTAATAGGTCTCTTAACATTACATGTCCTCTTAATTCTCCAACCTTCCACTCCAAACCTGCTTTTCTCCAAACCTTTCCCAGCTCAGTAAATGGCCCCTACGTTAACTGGCTTACTCAGGCCAAAAACTAAGGTGCCATCCCTGATCCCATTCTTTCTCACTCTCTGTAACCATATGTCAGCAAATCATATACGCTCTAGATCTGAAATATAAATATATATATATATAAATAAATCAGATCCTGTCATTTTCTTTTCTCAACCAGCCAATAGCTACCTATCACACTTGGAATAAAATCCAAAATATTTTCTATGATCTATAAATGCCTATATACGCTGGTCTGTGTTTGGCTTTTTGTTCTCTTTTACACTTAGAAGTAAAAACCATGAAGGCAAGGACTTAATTCACTGATATATTCTCAGTTCCTAGAAAAGTTCTATAAAAGGCACTCAATAAATATCTAAAGAAATAAATAAAAGGAATAAAGCAAGGGAGGGAGAGAGAGAGGGGAGAAAGAGAGGGAGGAAGGAAAAAGAAATGCAGTTATCTCTTGGCGTCCACATGGGATTGGTTCCAGGACCCACTGTGGATACCAAAATCCACAGATGCTCAAGTTCCATAGCTGGCTCTCCGCATCTGCGGATTCAACCAACTGCATCATGTAGTGCTGTGTGGAAAAAAAATCCACATATAAGTGGACCCACAAAGATCAAATCCATATTGTTCATGGGTCAACTCTAACTGCAGTTCCAAGGTTTTTTTTACTCCCTGGTGGAAGAAATTAGTATTAAGCAAAACGGCAACAGGTAATCAATTGACAAGTATTTGTTAAAGACCTATTGCTGTGCATTTAACCGATATTTTTCTCTTTTCTTTCCCTGGGATAATGTTCTCAATGACTCAGTAGCTACCAGGGGACAGGAACTTTGCAAAACCACTAAAACCTGATATGATGTAAAAGTAATTACTTTTCTTATGACTATCTTATGACTATCTTTTCTTATGACAACCCCTTAAAGGGGTTGGTACCATGTGAGTTAAAAATTTTAAAACACAAATACACATATACAAAGAAGTCCCTAAAACCTCTTTATACTAAGGCAAATTAATATTGTTAAATCTAACTGCTCACAGAATGATATTAAACAGCATTCCCATGATACCAAATCTTTATGATCTCTTCATAATAGAGGCTCTTGTGTTGAGATGACAGGCAATATAAAGAATCAACTAACCCTTTACTCAAAATTTAAATTTTAACTAAAAAATGCAGGATCAGGATCTACTGGCCTAATTAAAATGACCTCCATTTCCTCATGGGTTTCATATAGTACACAGCATATAACAAAACAATGGATTGAGCGGGCTTCTGTAGTGTGATAAGTCAAGATTCCATTTTAATCTTCTACACCAAGATATCCTCAGTCAAGTAAAATCGGCTGGGGCCTCAAAAAAGGCAACAGCTGCACAGCCAGCATCTGATGAATAATATTTGCATATTATAAGTCAGAGAAAGGTTTGCTGCTAAATATAATATGCAACCAATCACCTCACATGACAGCACTAGCGTGATGAATGAGGCAGAAAACTGCGCAGAGCAGGGATGGCCATGAAAGCTGGGGCAGCTGCAGCCTGCAGAGGGCCAGTGCCACAGGCTTCTGGACCATGGTTTCAACAGTCAAAATCACTCTTCGTGTTTCAGTGAGGGGCCAGCAGATGCCCAGGTTTTATTCAAAGGGATGTGCCAAAGAAGATGCTTTCCTGCCTGTCACTCAGCTCCTCAGGAATATACGTTGCAGCGGATGGTTGTGGTCAACAAAGACTATAAAGGAAAATGGGTCTGAAATTTGAATTCCTCATTGAATTCTTCATTAACAAAACTTAAAGCTGTATAGACAATGTGGAAGTATGTCCAGAAAATGAAATGTATACTAGTATAAAAATGTTTTTGTTTGAAGAAAACAATACCATTGATAATCTAAGGACATAAAGGATTTTCCTGAGGACCCTGCACTATTCGAAGTACAGGAGTGTAATCCTGGTTAAGGATCTGAACCCCTAAGAGGCTTTAAGACTTTAAAACATCAGATTCCTAGGCTTCACACCCAGAGGGCGATTCTAATTCCATAGGTTTGAAGTGAGACCACAGAAACACAAATTTTTAAACAAAAGCCCCAGGAGATTGTGATGTAGCCTGGCAAGCACTTGAGTGAGTTAGTTTGAGAACTACCAGAGGGAACACAAAAAGGATGTTGCCCCTAAGTTCGAAGATGATATTAAACTGAATTCCACCTCAGCAATAAGGTGGACTAAATAGCCTTTAAAAAATTCCCCCTACTATAAAAACAAAACACCTAAATGTTAAAAAAAAAATTTCAAATATATGACTGAGCTTTCAAGAAGATAGATGTAATTGTCAGCGGCTAAAGGCAGGGTGGGAGCACAAACTTTGAGTGTTTTAAGGGACTACTAAGGGTAGCAGTCACCTGAGAGCATCCGCAGGTCCGCAGGGAAACAGAGCTGTGGTTTTAATGACTTACAGGGAACGGAGGATAGAACCAAGGCCTCTGTAAGATAGGAAGCTGTTTCAGAGATCCTAGGTAAAGCCAGAGCTGCCTAAGGCTACACCTGTAGTGAAGGTGAACTAGAAAGTAATGCACCCTGCAAAGGGAAAACAGCAAGGACATCGTCCCTTGAGGATTCTAAACCACAAAGTCAGCCTTCACACCTCTGAGGCCCTAATTATACTTCCTATGTCATACAAGATACACCAACTTGAGAACTATGTTTTAAGTGGTTTAAAGAGTTGATTTTACTATATAAAATTGTAGAAAATACATACTAATCTATGATGACAGAAAATATCAGAGGTTTCCTGGGAATGTGGAAGGTGGGCAGGAAGAAGAGGAAAGGACTACAAAGAAGTAGGAGAACATGTGGGGGGTGGGTGACAGATATGCTTATTATCTTGATTGTAATAATGATTTCATGGACATATACACATGTACATATGTCAAGACTTGTCAAATTGTACACTTTAAATATGTGCAGTATATTCTATGTAAATAATACGTCAAGAAAGCTGTAAAAAAGAAATTCGATGAGTAAGTTAAAGAGCAGGTAAGACACAGGTGAGGTGAGAATTAGCAACCTGAAAGATCTAAAGGAAATTACAAGAAACTAGAAGACTCTGCAGCAAAGATAGATAAAAATGAAAGTATAAAAAAGGAGTTAAGAGATATAGAAAATAGAATAGTAAGGTCTAAAATACATTTAATTGAATCTCCCAAAGAAGTTAATAAAGAGAATGGGGAGAGGTAATAGATGATGAGCTAATTGCTAAGCATTTTTTAGAACTGATAAAAAATATCCATTTTCAGATTCAGGAAACACAAAAAATCTCGTCAATTAAGTAAAATTAAGCCCACACCATGATACATTACACTTAAACTGAAGAATAAGAGGACTTTAAAAGTAGCCAGAAAGTACAGACAGATTACTTACAAAGGAAAAACAACTATACCAACAGGTGTTTTCTCACTAGAAACAACAGAAAACAGTAGAATA